AACATGCTGCCAAGTGAATATTTTTTGCAAAAAACTAAGAAAAACATAAAACATTACACATTTAAATATACATCAATTTGAAAAATGACAAACAATTGTTATTTATAGTTTCTATTTTGAATATATATTATATATATATATATATATATATATATATGTGACAAAAGCTTGATGAAAATAATTAATGATCGAATATATATATATATATATATATATATATGTGACAAAAGCTTGATGAAAATAATTAATGATCGAATATATATATATATATATATATATATATGTGACAAAAGCTTGATGAAAATAATTAATGATAAGTCACGCTGTGGTCCCAGCTTCAGCCTGAGGAGGGCACTGAGGACTGCAATGTTTCACCCAGGAAAAGTTTCACGTGACAAGCAACAACCTGAAGATGCTGCTGAGGGACGTGGAGTAGGATCTGATCAGCTTAAGACCATTTATGTACTGGTCTCACCAGGATCTGGTCCCAGAAATTTAAACATTTTTGTTAAGGCTTATCCTGAGTCAACCAACATCTGACACTTGAAGGCCACAGTTCTTCTGCAGAATCTGCTGAAGAGGCTTCACCCTCCAACATTTATATTAGTCAACAAAGACCGAGGCTGTGTGAACAGCAGACGTATATATTTATATATATATGTGATAAATCTTTAGTAATAATATCACAACATTGCATTTGTTAATATGTAAAGCGTCAGAAACATGTTTTTAACAGTTACAGTTTGTTTGTTATTGAGCTCTAGGTGAGTGTTTACTTCAATACATCAAGTAATTGTGTGCAGAGAAAGAAAATCACAGTCTGCTGTCTGTGTCATGAAGCGTATAATACTAAATAATCTGTATGATTAGATTGGTAAAGTAAAGGTAGAAGAAATCCTGAAGACGACATCAGTGAAGGTTGTCGTTTGTTTTATTAGTAGATGTGTGTCTTAATACTCAACCATGATTCTGCACAATACACTGATGAACAGCTGATGGCTTTGACACTGACGACAGAGGCTCTGCTCACTCACCATCCAGCTGTTGGACACACAGTATATACAAGGTTAAAAGGTCAAGTCTCAGGAAAGAGGTGATGGAGTCTGTACAGGTTCATTATAACAGGCATGGGACAAGTCTGTGTTGGAGGGACAGAAGGTAGAGCAGGTTACAAGATGCTTTACAACACAGTGGTTCACAGCACAACGTAGCAGTTTTTCTTTGTTTCTGTTTTTGTTTTTTTTTAAGAGTTACAACAAGTATAAAAAGAAGCAACAGCGCCCACAATTATTCCAACAGCCAGGGGAAAATGGCGCAATGTCGCCATCCTCTGGTCAGATCACACATCTTCTCAGCGGACAACAAAATGGAAAACATTTAACTTGAACATCTCAGTCAAGGATGAATGCAGTACACATACTATCTACAGTCAGGAGTAGTAACCATCCACTAGTCTAACATCTATTTACCTGTCCACACGCTGGAGTCAGTACAAAAAAAGTCTACCATTCAACATCAGCTTCAGATGGCTTTAAAAGAAGAATATTGTCCTGTACAATTTGAGCCGACCAAACCAGTGTTTTTGTTTTTTAAAGTTTTGCACTTGAGTCACCTACTGTCACAACAACTCTTAACCATATGCGGGTCATTCTCCTGAAATCTTGGTCTAAAATTGTTGCAGAGGATGGGGAACATCAGCATGTTTTGCTAGCAACAGAGAAGCTATTTTGATTAAGCAAATTTTTACTCCATGAACTTGAATATAAATTTTTAAAAAATGATCTAACATTTCTAAATGTGGAAAACTGGCTGTATTTGTAATGATAATCAATGCTGTTGTGGAGGATGAGAACTTGAGTCATGGACGCTTCATTTTTTCATTATTATTGCATTAGAGAGTCCCTTATTTTTTCGAGGATGTATTTGTTTAAATCTGTTAAAATAACAACATACATTCAGACAAATCTGGACGTTTTGCGATAATGAGAAAGTTGTCATAAAATTCAAATAAAATTAATGTCTATATTGAAATTACTCTTTGGTCCATATAGAAAAAATTAACTTTATTATTGTGTTTATCAATGTGTACTAATGATTTCATGAGAATGACCTATGCAGTGTTTTAGTTTTTGTTTATTTTTACAGTATAATTTGTAGCTCTGGCAGGAAAACTAAATTTCTTATTGTTATTCATTTGAAAAAAATATCAATTTCTCTGACAAAGTCAAAAAATGTGTAAAAATGAATTAAAAGGTGGTTTCCTGTTTCCACCACATTATGTGTTTTAATTGATCTGCATTGCATTACACGTTAACAATAGTGGAACTTTTGGTTAAAGTAAATGGATTTTTACTGGTTCTTTACAATATGGATGTCTTATGCAGATTCCTGACATTCAAGAGGCGGTTCATGGATTTTTAAGTGGCAAGTAAATCAATGGAAGACACCTGTTTAGATTTGAGTGGTGTCTTGACTGCAAACCATGTCCTGCTTTTATCATTTTCATCAACAGTTCTGTGGCCGTTGGGTATAAATAGTTCTGGTAACTACATGAAAACACTGAAACTGAAACACTGTTTTGGTCTAAGGTAAAATACAGTAGCTTAGTTGCAGGTCTGAATGGACAACTAGCACTTGGAGCAGTAAAGGTAAAGACAACAACCTGAAGAGAGGAGCCCTGTCTGTGAAAGCAACAACAACAACAACAACAAAAAATCCAAAGCTCTTAACTTTTTATCCACAAATCATGACCTGCTGCAGTTTACAAGCAAACGCTGCTGCAATGCTTTAGTTCACTTTTAGAATTTTTCCCTTTTAATATGACAACGTTGCTATCAGGAACTACCCGTAGTCAAAGCTGAGCGTATTCCCTCTGGAGATGAACTTTGAACTGAAAATATCTCTAACATCTACACCAAATCCCTTAGTAGAAAATCAAAAGTGTACTAACTTCTAACTTTCTGCAGCCTTGTTCACAAGAGGTTTTTTTTCTCTCTAAGGTAGATAGAAAAAAAGTTCCAATAGTGAAAATTACAAATTAATTTTAAAAATTAGGACTAGAAATGATCAGAAACTGTGATCACATGTGCTGTGATGTAATAATCACTGACACTGTCTATGGACTTTGGTGCTGAAGGTACAAAGAACAGTCTGTAGCAGATTTTTTTATAGATAATATTAGACTCCTGGCACAGACCCTGATTCTCCGTCAACACCTCATGTAGCCTCTGTATTTGAAGAAAAAAGCCAACCTTTATTTGAATTTCAAAAAACTAGTTCTACTGGTTAGTTTTCACATATTGTGAATATGTTGTGTTTAGCTCCAAACGTTCATTCAAATATTCTGAAAACATGCTGTATTGAATATTTCCATCACCTATCAATTTCATTACTACCCATTATTCAAAGCACACTGATGTCTGATGAAAAGGCTGCTTCATTAAACTAAGAGCAGTTGAGTTTTTCTTTAGCCTTCTAAGTTTGGCTGTGTCTTTCCTAACCCTCCTCCTCTTCCTCTTCATCAGGCAGTCACATGGCACAGATGGTTAGCCAATGGCAGGTCTTCAAAAGAGCAGAATTTTAGCATGCCTCTCTGACTCCCCTAGGTGGTGTTTGTGTGTGTTCTTGGTGTGTGTGTTTGCATGTTGATTGGAGTGTGAGTGGTGAGTGTAAGTGTGTTTGGGTTTGAGCTCACTCATTTCATTGCTCTGTTGTTGACCGTGTGTGTGTTTGGCCTTACTGTGCACATGGACAGGTTTTTCTTGGCTCTCGTCGCTTGTGTGTTCTCGTCGTGTGAAGGTAATGTCATTGTGTGTCATAGCTTCAGCTGTGGGCTGCGTGTGTGTCGGCTCTTCCTCGGGGTGCGCCAGCGCGTTCATGACCTCATCGATCCACCTGCGGAAGCGGCTGACTCGGGTGTAGAGGGCGGGAGAGGAGGGGTCAGCGCAACTGAAACCTCCGGCGACCACACCACTGAGGAACCATCGGCCCTCGTCGTCTTGACACACCAGGCCTCCTCCCGTGTTTCCCTGACAGCTGCTGCTGTGGAGGAGGCTGGTGTCAGGAGGACTGCCAGCACACAGAGTGCCGTGGCTGGAGAAGCTGTCGCCGTACCGTTTCTTACACTGCCAGGATGACATCAGAGGAACCCAGGACGCAAGAACTGAGTCTAGAAGACAGAGCAGAGAATATGAGTCATCAAGAACAATGAGTTTGAATCTGACTTGGGACACAAACAACCATCTGCAGCGACCGTCATGTAGTAGCTGTGGGTTAGTGTAGTTCAACATAATTCTACCACTTGACCTCACCTGAGGTCTTCAAAGTAACATCACCAAGGAACTTAAACTGGCCCTTTGATCTGACTGAAGTTAATTTCAGGGAAATTTCTTTATGTGATTTTGTGTTTGTATTGAAGATAATCTGCAAACACTGCTGCCTGTTGTAGCATAGTTTTTTATTTTTAATTATAAAAGGTTAGTGGCGCTTTGGCCCAGGGGCAATGTCTCTGTCATTAGTGTGGAACCCCAGGGTTCACCTCCTGGTTAGGTTGGTTGGTACCTTCCAGTGGACTCACCACCCTCAGGAAGGTTCAGGGGGGTTGGTACGGTGCAGTGTGATTTAGGTGTCATATTTTATCTGAATATTTCAAAATATCACCAAAAACATGCCTAAGACTGCTGCCCGACCCGGTAACGGATACGCGGATGAAAATGGATGGATGGATGGATGGATATAAAAGGTTAACCACTAACAAAAAGACTAATGTGTTTGAGTGATTTTTTTTAACACAAGGAGAACTGTTTTATGCTGTTAAAACCTTAAAAAATGTGTTTTTATTTTCAAGGTTTGATTCTGGATCCTAAAACCATTGGTTTATTCAAAATAACAGGGATTTCACCGAACAGGTTTTGTTCTAAAATCCTCCAGTCCTGTCATGTTTTCTATCAACCTTTTTTTATTTGTCAGTTGTTAAGTGTGGCTTGTGCTGTAAATGTACAGTTAGGTTTACTGTAGGGTTTCAAAAGGTGAACAAAAGTAGCACCTAACCACTAGAGGGCGACCGCAGCAAAATTAGAATATTCATGAGAAACACAGTTCAAGGAAAATTAATCTACTTCTATCCTTAATTGAAATATCAAAAGGTTGAAAACAGACCATAAATATAAACACATTTAAGAGAAAAAAATAGATTTTGAAAGTTGGGATCCAACAGTTACCTGGTTGCATCTGGCTTTATAAACGTATGAAGTAAAACTGAGTACAAAAAAAGGGGGAAAACAATCTTAGCTGATTGTTTTGACATGTTGTTGTTCATTCCAAAATATTACACAGACATTCTTTTCAATTTAATTAAATTAATTTAAACTAAATTATACTGTGGTAAAACTGATTATTACAGTACAAGTTGTACAATTTCACAGATCTGTAATTAATGAAAATAACAATGTTAAATAAAAACCAAAAACATACCAGTTCCAGTCCACCCTGCAGTAACTGTGACAATACAGGAGGAGGGGGTATTCCCTCCTGGTGCTGTGTCTACAGCTGGAAGACAGGCTGCATTAGTGTTAGGGTCGAAGCTCAGACAGCGACCCTTGGCGCTGGGGAGTTTCAGCATGGCCAGATCATGACCTCCACTCTGACCCTTGTACTTCCTGTGTACGACCACCTGCTCAGGAGTGAGGGTCTGCTCTGAAGGGCCGACCCGTATCAGGTATTTGGATGGATCGCTGCCGAACCTAGCGCAAGGGAGGAGGAGGTCATGTGATCAAAAACTTAAAACAGAACTGTTGTTGGTGTGAGAGGAAAAAGATAATGAAATAGTTCAATGTTATATGATCCTTTGTCAGGTGACAGCGGAGGAGAGACTGGAGTTTCAGAGGAAAGGCCTAAGTGTGTAACAGCATCAGCCTTCTCATCATGGAAATTCTGAAGAATTAGCCTGGGTACACTTTAAAAAAGCACATAAGCACATTTGGTGTCCTAGAATCTGGCTCCAGCAATTAATCTTTTTCTTATTTCTACCCTCTCTACGTCAACAGGAAGTCTCAGGCGGCCATTAGGCCCGTACGTTCTGAGAAGCGTTGTCAGATTCAGGTTAAGTTCTACAGCGTGTGAAAGTCAACCTGGAACAACTGTCTATTTTTCACAACCACATGGCAGTATTTGGTGAGGAGGACACATGATGTACATCCAAGTCAACCTCCTATGTGGGACACGGGCAGGCTGAAAACATCAGCATATATGAGGTTCAGAACCCCCAGGTCATTCAGGTGGGTAAATGTACATTTTAATTTATGACACACAGATGATCTCTGTACTGGGTCAGAAATGAAGTAGTGAGCAGATAAACAGCACCTGCTGACACAGTGGGCAGACGTCAGGGCCCAGCAGGGGCTGATGAGGGTCCCACTGCAGAGAGGATCTCCACCTTTTCCCTCTGACTGAAGCCACACCGACACCTGCCAAGGCCACGTGTTCCTGGGAAAAACACGGAGGAAATCCCAATCAAAACTTCTTTTCTCTGTGTGACTTTTACTGATATGAAAAGTAATGCATTAATGTTATATTAAAATCAAGCTTTTCAAATTTTGTTTTCATTACATTTGGGCTTAATCCTAAAAGATGAGATAGATATTTCCTTAGTATTAAAGTAAAAATATGACTTTTTGTTTCAGACTTTTTTTTATAGGATATTCCATCAGAAAAAAACAACATACATTTAAAATCAAATAAACCAGAACTTAAACACATCTAACAAAATATGTATCTAATACACATCTTGATAGACAGAAATGTCCTGCTGACAATCAACAATCAACAGAAAAGATGATAAATAACACAGGCTTACAATATTAAATGCATCTGTGTGTTGTAAAAATGACCCTCTGATGTTAACTGTAAATTTTAAAGAAAATGTAAATCAACCATTTTTTTTCCTTCTCAGC